TTGTGTGATGATTTGAAATAAGATCGACAAAATTTGGCCAATAAAATGGCTTGTTTTACAGTGTCCATTATGCTTTCATGATCACATTACATTGTGATACAATTGTGATATTAAACAAACACTATTGATCCCTGAAATCTTTGGTAATACCAATGTTCACTTTGTCTGGTTTTGTTGCAGTATACCCCAAATAACCTTTCCACGAAAATAATTTGGATTTATTACCATGTGATATATCACTTGTGTGTGGGATATTTTTATAGTAAAAATTTATTACTTTGAAAAAAATTTAAAATAATGGTATCCGATCAAAAGACATCAAATACTTTAGATGATTATTTTCACAAGAAAATGAAAGTTCATCAATTACACCAGAATTGTCAAATAACAAAAGAAAACATGCTGGCGATAGACCATTGTTGGAAGTTTGAACCATTTTACAAAAGGAGATGAAAAAACCAAAGGTCATTATGAAGCAACTTGTAATATTGTCATCAGAAATGGGATAGCGCTTATCCTAGTGGATTGGAAATTCATCTAGCAAATCAATGTATTGAGTTTCAGCATTCATTTGTAGTTTCGGCAACAAACCGCAGTTTTGGCATTTTCGGTAAAGTGACCAAGTTTCGGATTATTAGTTTCTATAATAATAACCTTTTTTTTCCGAGTTTCGTCATCATCACATTTTAATTTAGGCAAACTTCTATAGTGTATTTGTTTGTAGAACAGGAAATTATTCATATTGATCAATAATACGCAGTAATTCAATAAGAGTAGTTTATACAGTAGTATCGATTATTGGTTATTAATAACTTTTTCCATGCTAATTATCAGTAGCGTTATAAATTAGTTATAAGCATCTAAACAGAAGTATATTTAAGAAAAACAATATAAAAATTTTTTTCATTAATAAATGAATATCATCAACAAACTAACTTATAAAAGAGGAATACAATACACGAGAATGATTGTTGGCAAGATATGCATATGAAATTGTAATGAAGATGGCGGGTGAGACTAAAAATTGTATAATAGTCATAATAATAATAATAAAAGCATATAATAAATTGAATATCGTTCTTTCATAACTAGCGTTTTGGAATGAACACCTCCGGGAGTAGGTCGTTGAGGTTGATGAACTTTTGTACTTTTCCCATCGGTTGTAGTAGAAGTACCAGTTTTAGGTGCCGAGCTGATTTTAGACGTGGTAGTGGTCGGTGATTTTTTGGGGGCGATCTTTGTTGTTTTAGTGGCAGTGGTAGCAGCTGGCTTAGTTTTTTCTATAGATGTTGATTTTTGATGTATCGATGACGATGTAGTAGTAGTAGGTTTAGATTTATTTGAAGTAGCACCAATTTTAGACTTAGTAATAGAGGGGGAAGAAGAATTAGTTTTATTGGTAGCAGGGGATTTAGTTCTAGAAGCTGAACTTGTACCAAGTGTTTTAGTTGTAGATGTTGTTGGCGTTGTTGGTTTTTTTAAACTTGAAGCAATTTTAGAATTTGTTTTAGAAGGTGGGGTAATAGATGAAGGTTTTTTAATACTAGAACCGATAGTACTAGTACTTGGTTTTTTAATAGCTTTTTTTGGTCCACCATTATGACTGGTAGTGGTGGCACTGGTGGTGGATGTAGTAGTAGGCTTTGGTGTTTCTTCAGGAGCATTACTACTATTATCATTGTTGATTGTTGATGATGTTGATGTTGTTGTTGCTGTTGATTCTGATTCTATTTCTTTATGTTCTTCTTCATTAACAACAACACTCTCCTTAGTTTCTTCTTGCACAATTTCTTGCACAATTTCTTCTTGCACATTTTCTTGTATGCTTGTTTCTTGTACGCTTTCCTGCACACTTTCTTGCACACTTTCTTGCACACTTTCTTGCACACTTTCTTGCACACTTTCTTGCACTATTTCTTCTTCTTTATGGATAGCTTCTTCTTCTTCTTTAGTCTCTTCAACACTTAAAGTTATCTGTTCTGTTTCTTCTTTTTCACCATTGGAAACAGTTTCTTTTTCTTCATTAATAGCTTCTTTTTCATTTGTTGTAGTAATGCTTTCAGAAGTTGGACTAGTCGACTCTTCTTTACTACTATTGTTTTTTTCAAAAGCCGAAATTAACTTCCCAGGAATGGGACTGCGAGCACGAGGTTGGGACCGAGCAACACTTTCGTCAAGGTTATTCTCAAATTTGTCAATAAGAGACGATACAGGTTTAAGTTTTGTATGGTCAGGAATAACCATCTAATAAATATATATATTAATGTATATATTATTCAATTATTATTAATAAATATATTTTTTTGTAGTTGAATAAAAAGAAACAACACAAACCTTTTTTTCCTTTTTATAAATAATTAAATGAAATTTGAAATTTCTAATGAAATTAATATTTTTTTCAAATCCAAAAAAATAAAAATATGATAAAGAAAAAAAAAGAAACAAGTTTTTTTTTATATTGGATTACTAGTATAACACTTGAGAGAGATATGATTGTTGAACAATATAGTTTTTTTTTTTCTATCTTTTATCATCGATTTTCAAATTAAATTAGGAAATTGTGTGGCCAATTTTCTAATTATATATATAAAATAGTAAATTATCTTTATTTGAAATAAATTCAAGAGAAAAAAAACACTAGATTATCCGAGAGCATGATCGATGGATTCATTATATTATTAATATAATGAAATATAACGCCTTTACTATAATAGAATTTTAATAATATGGGAACAAAGTAATGGTGCACAGTGACGATCAATCCTACAATTATACCATTTTTATGTCTTGCTTGGCTCATGACTTGCCTAGCTGGATGGGATAATGATCATCTGATATAAATCTAAATGTGTAACGTGTAGAGTAATTGGGACCCGGACAGTCATATCACAAATGGATAAGGCTAAGCTCAAGAAACCCTTCAGAAGGACCGAAAAAATCGATTGACATGTGGACGTACACACTATTTCATATTAACAGTAATTAGTAATAGGTCACTAATACATTTTGATTATAGGTTTTGTGAATTATTTTCCTAAGCAGAAAAACTCACTCACCTTAGGTGCTTGATTTTACGGTCATCTCCTCAAAATACTCAATTTGTTACACTGACCTTTTTTTTAAAAGATAATATAACAACAAAACTTTGTTATTATTGTGAATTAGAGTCCCTATATAGATTTATAGATTTATATGTATATTTTTAATTTAAGAAAATATATACTAAACATTTTAAGCATTTTAAATGAACATGAAAAACAACAACAAAAAACAACAACAACAGAGACCTGTAAAACAAAAAATCGCCTAGTACAACATTAAAAACAAATACATTCGAGCATTGTGGATATTCATTATTATTATTACTTGTCAGAATTTGAAAAATGCTTAAAAAATTTTTGATTTTAGGAAAAAAAATTTTTAACCGTTCCATGTAATAAGGGTGTGCTTAAAGATGATTTTCATATTCTCATGTTAAAAGATTATGTTTATTGGAGAAGAGGGCGATGAAAATTATTTAGGTAATGTAGTTTGGCCAATTGGGAATTTTAATAATAATCAACAAGCGTATGTAGACATTATTAATAGTGAGGTAAAGATTATTTGGAAGGAGATTAAAATACTAAAATCTGTGATAATGTATTTTCTTCTAATTTGGTTAAATTTTTTTTATAGATAAGGTAGATTTTATTAATTATATTTATAACAAATCTTCCATTTTTTGGAAGTTATTAATTCTCAATCATTAAATGTAATAATTTGTTATTGAAGGATAAATAATATCATTAGAGAAAGATCAGTGGTAAGTGACAAATAGATGGTTAAACAGAAATAAATATCATAATTTAAAATGAGGCTTTGAGACCACATCCATTTATTTAAAAATCCTATTAAACATTTAATCGAGTAGCTTGCAAAACCTCTTCTCAAATCAGGACAGGTAATTACTATACCCAACTTGTTATTATGTGGGTTTTTAGAAATATGCGATCAAATACGTAGTATATGTAAATAAAATAATTATTATTTATATAAATACTTCTAATTCATCATATTTACAATCTATTATATTAATATTTGAATCACTACTATAACTACTAAGGCTGCCGAAACTTTGCCAAAACTCTAATAAACAATTAGTGTGTACCTTGCCAAAACTCTGCCAATTGCCAAAGCCCCAAAATGCGGAACTTTGCCGAAACAATCAGTAACTCTGCTGTTGAGTTTTGGCAAGCTAATTACTACTAATAATCTAAAATAAGATCCCAGCCACCACCAAATATAGCTAATATTATTAGAATGACTAAATTTCCAGACCATGTTTCTCAACAGCATAACTAAACTGTGTAGAATTAATATCTAACATTATAAATAAAATTTTCAGTTGTATTTTTTTACATATTATTAAATTCAAATCAAATGAATTATAGCCTCCTACTAATTGGTCTATTGCACATGTTGCCAAATTAATTTGGCTTTGACTCAATTCCCAAAACCTCATTTTTATTTTTATTTTTTCAAAAAGTCACCTGATTGAATCAAGTGATCAACCTATTCGAAAAGTGCTTCGAGATTCGCGTTAATATGATTAGGTTTAATTTGGCGGTGACATTCAATGGAGTTTTCCTAACTGCCCTCTCTGGTTGAACAAAACTAAAAATTATCATGATATTTTTCATATAATGATTAAAGAGTCGTTATGTGGATAATAAAAAACGGGAATTGGTTGGTCGTTTTTAAAAAAAAATGGCAAGACTTTTTTGAAAGTGTAAAGGGGAACGGAATAATTCACAATAATAATTTTCTTATTGTTGACGAAAAATTGACTGTCTTTTTGAAAAAATGCAAAGGCGATGATACTCTGTTACCATTAATTGAAAAAAAACGGAAATTGGTCGTTTGTTAAAAAACCCTGTCCAAGACTTGTTTGAAAGTGTATTTTGACCACTACTAAAAAAGAAACAGGATAATTTGCGATTAATTTCTTTATGTTATTGACGAAAAACTTAAAGAAGATGCTTCACCGTTACAAAAAAACATGACAAACGATAACTCGTAAAATGTTTTTTTCAATTATCAACTAATCGTAAAGTGTGTTTTTAGCATTTTTAGTGTTAGTATATAGTATAAGAAAGACATTGTTTTGTTGTTATCTTTTGACGATTCTGTTTAGTTGGCATTAGTAATTATTTAATTTAAAAAATCAACAATTGAATTAATATAATAACTATGCAATTAACCTATTTTAACTTAAATAAAAATTCAAAGTTAACTTTGCCCAATTACAGTTTGGACCAATAAAAAATTAATTTCGAAATTTTAAAAATCTAAAACGCAATTAATTATTTGGTATAATGAATTTTAGATGTGATTTTCTTATATATCCTTATAGATTCATTGAAACAAATAAAAGAACCTTTATCTGAAGGAAATTTTGGGCGATCTGCAATAGCTGGCAGAGCAAAAGCAAAGTGTAGAATTACCAAGAGTATCCCTTTAGAAATCGAGTACTTAAAATTTGCTATAGTTGGCTCGGTCTAAAGGCCTCCTAAATTTTGTGCAAATTTTAAAAGTATAAAGTCATTTCCTGTCCTACTTTTTAAAAAGTAGCTCTATTAGTTGATAGAATAAGTCTTTAATTTTAATGTAATAGAGAGATTTTCTCAAAAAAATTATTTGTTGTAAAGTTCTATTCTTTTTTAAAACTATGCTCATGAGCATAGCGGACATTAGTGTAATTGGTAATGATTTTCGTTGATCATATTTTGATTTTATATAAATTTCACAAAATAAAAGCAGGTTTTGAGGTTAGAGTCATAAACTATAAAACTTATTGGTAAACATATATAAAATTGTTATCCAAAGCAATTTTTGAATAAATGTCATTTGATTTTTTAAAAAAAAACAATATCAAAATTTATAAATTTTATTCTTTAATGACCAAACCAATCTTCAATTTATAATCATTAGCGACTCTTAAAAGTTCCTCTTGTTCGCTAATTTCGTACAATTTTAAAAGCGCAGTTAGTTCTTTTTTAGCAACATAATTTTTAGCATCCGTCTCATGGGTAAACCACATGGAAGTTCTAACGGGTTCTCTACCATCAATTTTTAATGAATAATTGAATCTACCTTCTCCTACTTCGTTTGGAATGAAATGTACTTGTCCTATTTTGAATTTTAGACAGAATTCTTGAAGAGCGTCATGAAGAAGAACATCATGAAGAAGTTCATGTAAACCAAGTAGTGGAGAAAGAACATCACGAAGAAGTTCATGAAACCCAAGTAGTGGAGGAAGAACATCACGAGGAAGTTCATGAAACCCAAGTAGTGGAGGAAGAACATCACGAGGAAGTTCATGAAACCCAAGTAGTGGAGGAAGAAAATCACGTGGAAGAGGTTGTTAAGGATGAAGAACATCAAGAGGAAGTAGTTCATGAAGAAATAGTTCACGAAGTAGTTCATGAGGAAGAGGTTGCCCGTGAGGAATCAATTAGCCATGCAATTTTGAATCAAACAATATCTACTTAATTTCTAAAGTGGGTTTTATAACGACTAATTAATTAATAAGTTACCATCAATGATTTTTTTAATCAATCCAAAATCCTATACATATTTTATATATAAATTTCTGTAATTATTTTCGGGATTAAATTATTTATTTATTTATTTATTATTGCTAAATCATCAACTATAGAAATTAAAATTCTTTTGGGGGATTAAACTTAGGATTAACATACCCTAATAATATAAATATATATGTAAACTTAAATAGTATTTTTTATATATTTTATTTTTTTTTTGTTTATATTAAAAATAAAAAAACAAGACAATATTATGTACCAGCGTTTTTTTCTTCATGAAATAGTTAATAGTGTATTCAAATAAAATAAAAACCATGCATGTACTTCAATAAATATTTTTAACTAGAATGGTTTTTCTAATACGATATGGATCCTTCAGTTTAAAGACACAACAGTGCCAGAGTGGACTTTAAAGCCTCTTGGAACGATCTATAAATCAGGAACCTGATCGTAATTCGTCTTGGCAGGCTCGTTACTGATTTCATATAACTGTTTAAGGTATTCAACTCATTCTTCACTCTCATCATTAAAACCTCCATATGTATAATCTCGATCTCTCGCTAACGATTTATTTCTATTATAAAAAATACGGGATAAAGAAATAAATAAATCAAGAAGGAATTGTATCCGTTGATGGGGTGATTAACGTGAACCTGTCATTTTTGTGTTTTTGTCTGAGACACGCCTCAATCGTGTACTCGGGCTACTTGTAATTATTACTATTTGGGGCAGTTCAACGCCACAAATGTACTTTGTAATATCAGCAACTTGTTCCTCATTTATATAAGATTAATATCTAAAAGTGAAGATAAATTTTTTCTTTTGTGGGTTAATACGTTCTGGTAACTTTTCTCTTGGATGCGCTTCTTCTCTGGATCTTTTATTAGCCATTCTTATATATTTTCTCAACTTTCTTAATTTCTTTTCTAAAGTGCACAAGCATCCTGAAATATTTTCAGCGAGCCACTTATTTTCTCAGTACAAACACTGTAATCCATTGTTGCTGTTTCTCGGATTTTTTTTCCAATAGCCTTCGAAATGGCTTTGTGACATCTGTTTCCTTTAATTAATTTATACAAATTGCTGGATCAAGAAGTCGTCTCATTCACAGACTACTTTTTTTTCTGTCTTTCTTTCGCAATTACCTTTGACGAGACAATGAGGCAGTTAATGTTTGTCGTTCGACATATATTTCCTTTTTTTTTTTTTTTTTTGTAAAGGATTAATAAAAATTGCATCACACAAGTAATAATACCAAAAACCAATTTGAAAGTAATATATGAATAATCTTCAATTAATTCCTTTGAAAAAAAAAGAAATTGGTAATTAAATTCTCGATCGTATATAAAGTCCCAAAAAAATAAAACGAACAAAAATAATAATATAATTATGCAACTGCCCCTTTGTTAGAAATTTCAACAAGCCTTTTCCACAGTGAAGTGGGAAAAAGCACCCAATGCAATACAGTTACTTCAAAATCTTCAACTTAGAATAATATCCGAATTTTTTTTAAGGAATTCTTGCAATATTCTAATATTTGAACTTGAAGTGATTTTTCTTCTTTACATTTCACTCTTTTTCTTTTATTATGTCTTTGTTACTATTCTTTTGTGCCAATAGTGATGACAATTCACGGCAAAATTGTATGAAATGACCATAGAAGTGTTAACATTGTAGAATGTGTATATTAGTCGGACGACATTTCACAGTGACTGATTTTAATATATGATCGACATGACACGTTTTCTGTACAACGGACTTTGGCGA